TTCTACAAAATTATCATTACATTCAATAACATCATGCCCTGCAAAAAGACCTATGCGTCATAGTACAATAAGTAAGTGTATTTATTTATTCTTAATATAAGACCAACGATTGGTTCACACATTATTTGTTCCTTTAGGATACTGTAGCCCATGTGTATTGGTTTGGAATGAGGGTTTTCTAACTCCCCTAGGTGGACTCTCCATGTCCACCAACTCGATTAAAGCGCCAGACATTCGCTTTTCGTCCTCTCAATTTCGTAAACAACAGTAATGCCACGAGAAGGTAATGAGTAGGACTTCCATGACAGAAGCTATATACGCGTGTCCATGTGATAGCATTTCGAGAGGGTGGTTGGACTCTCCCACCCTGTGCCGTACCAGGGCATTTGGGGGCACAATAAACATACATCATAACATTCGTTGAGAAATGATTAGAAATGAAATTGGTTACTGAATATCAACAAGTAGTATAAAACAATACACAAAAAATGAGTTGGATAAGCAAACGGTCACGTCTGTGAATGCTAGCTCACCTGTTCATATACTTTACTATAAACACTTCTTGTATATAAGAAGTTTAGTGTTATTAATACTAATTTACTTTAAATGGAGGAGCCATCAAATACTTGGTTACTGTGGAAGGTGGTTGGAGTCCTCTCTCCCTCTAAAAATGCTCTCATTTGGCCACGTGTATTCAGCCACTGTCAAAGAAGTCCTACTCACTTCCTTTCCACGGCGGGGGTTTTGTTTACGGAATTGACAGGATTATGTTTCACTTCTGCAAAGGAATTTTTTTCGATCTTTTATTCTGCTGACTGTCTCTTTTACATTACGTTATTTTTATCCGGAACATGATTGAGTTTCATCATATGTCTTGTAATAACAACAATACAACCTACACTTTGTTGTAAGATATTCCGTAAATCTTCAAACATCCTTTTTATATGTAAACTCTTCATTAGCCGTTTAAAAAATTCATGTTTTTCATTAGTTTTAAAAGTGTAATTGGAAAGAGCGTGAATTTAACAGATTTCATATACTTTCTAAAATTTTAAGAACTACACTCTAATTATGAGGACTTGTGGCACTAGCTAACTGCCGAGATGGAAATGCTTGAAATGTGGGTTCGAATATGTGATTGAAAATCGAATACCTCTAAATACTCTCCCTATGTCTCCCTCCCATAAATATCTTAATAAGAATGATATTCTAATGGTTTATTGTTTTCAAAAACGAGGGATCGCTTTAAACACAACGAGTAATATTTTAACCAGACTGGTAGTCTTTTGGCCCCTTAACTCCGTGAAAGAAATCTTACAAGTATAGTTTACCTCAGTCAAACGTTTTGTATCTGTGTGTGTCTGTGAAGTTACTAATCGCAACCAACTGTCCAAACCGAAATAGAACGATTTTAACGGCCAAAGATTCGAATTCATATCTTTTAAATGTAAAAAGTCGTTACACTTCAAACAGCAAAAAAAGACTAGAGTATTTTTAATACAGAACATAAGATACCATGGAATTTTGAAGGTAATGCTGTCCGTTGATAATAACAACGTAATCACTCATCATATTAGACGCACCTATTTCGCAGTCCGTAAAAGCGAAAGGCTTGCATTTTGAATGAAAACTAAACGTCTGATTTTATGCTTTAAAATGATTTAATGTCAGATACTGAGTTTCTAGTTCCGAGTATTTTTCCCATCATTAGTTTTCTGCGTATTGATCATGCTATTTACTGTCACACTTTTATGAAAGGCATGAAGCCAACTCTTCGGAAAAGTCATGTATTCATAATTATTATTATTGAAACAGCTAAATATTGATACAAAGGGGCACCGAATATATATGTGGCACACAATTCACTTGATGTGTGTGTGTGTTGCGATGCAGACTGGGTGCCCCGCCGAAGTAGGTGGTTTACTTAAAAGGGGCCACGTCCGGAGCGTTTGACTTAGAGGTCTGATCCACAATGCAGTGGAAAAAATATTGAGGTATGAATGTTCATGCATATATAATACATATTCAAATAAGCTTCAGTTGTCTGTATTTTTACATACAATATTTAAGTTATTGAGTTTTTAAGAATATAAATTTATGTATCCATTGCGTTTTTCGTCAAGACTATTCATCTATTCTTGTTCTCCTTAATCTTTTTTTTAAACACAGGTGTAGTTACTCCACCAGGAGGTACGGGAACGGCGGAGGTGGAGGTCTACTCATATCTCGTCAATCAGAGTTAACTTCTAATCATATCAATTTACATAGTGGTTGGCTTTTAACAAAATCATCAAGTCGAGAAGTTGATCAACAACATAACTACAATTATTATTATTCTCATCATAAATCTCATTTAATCAATACACAACCACAAGCTTCGCCAATTTTACGTAAATCTGTTTTCAATCCTGGTTCAGTGTTTTTCACTGGTTAGTTAGTTAGTATGGGTTATTTTGTTAAAGATGATTGTTTGTTTTTTCTTTGTAAATAGTATTCTCAACATCTCTTTTATGTGTTTTTTCCCCGATATTTTTCTACTGTAATTACTAACCACGGTTAAACTTAAAGAGATATTGTAGTGGTGATTTTCGTAATTATAAGATTTATGGTTAAAGTTTGTGGACAGTTGATGAAGCAGATACATCTCTAGTTACTAGAGGGTGTAACGTGACATAACATGATCAGTTTTATGGTGAACAATAATTTTATGAAAGTTAGAATACAATAGTCGATAATAAATCGTGCTAGTTGGTATCTGTCAGCAAGATGTATGTACCTGCTATCTTCAAGAAGCTGATACTCTTTCGCGGATTCAAACCTGGGTCGTCTAGTTTTAAATTACTGTACACCTTGCACGAAGCATATGTCGAGAGTTTACTACTGAATCACTTCGACTGCCAAACATTTACTCATAGTTCATGGAATGTCGAGTCATTTAGACCGTTGACTATATTACAGCTTGATCAATAGTATTCATTTAGCTATAGTAAGTACTGGACAAACAAGGTATCCGAGGTTACTTCGTGGCCAATCAGTTTAATAGGAGGGGTGTCTCTTATAATCCTAAAATCTACGTACCTTATTGGTTTGAAGTCAGTGTTTTCCTCATTCCCTATGTAGGCGGATCATTTTTATCCACCGATTCAGTTCAAGTGCTGGACGTTAACTTTTTACCCTTTTACTTTCGTAAAAAGCACTACTGCTACATGAAAATAGTGAGTAGAATTTCACTGTCAGAGACTATCAACTCACAACCATATCAGGACATTTTAGGAAAGAGAGAGACCAAACCATACTCACTCTTGGCCCTACCAATTCATCTAGTAAGCAGGTATGGATTGCAGCCGCATTTACCAAGCTGTATTCGTACCAGGTTGCGACGCGTTGTTGATTGTCTTTGACTTTATATAAACATATTTAATATCCAGTGCATTCATTTAGTTGACTTTTTCGTCTATAATTCTCTCATTTTCCTCTTATATTATTTGAACAAGTGTATATTGATCGTTTTTGTAACTAACATGTCTTTTTTAAAGCAAAAAATAGTTCCCAACTTGAGTGTATATAGTGTTGACTGTTGAAAATTGAGTTAGGTCTGGGTGATTATTTTAAGAATGATTGAGTGACTGAGTGATATGGATGTGAATTGATTGGAATGGCAAATACGCCTTTACTTTTCATCTCTTCAAAATTTGAACGAATTCCTCCTTACTTTCCTTTATCATATTGTCTATCTTTAATCCTTCTCAGTATCATTATTATTAATATTATTAATGGTACTGTTACTACTCTTGTCACTGTGGCATTTCTGTTGATAAGTTCATTTCACATTACTGATTTGCTACATCTATGTAAACATGCTTCTTTTTTTTCTTGGACTGACTGATTGATGTTGCGAAACGTTGTGAATCATCGCTAACATCGTTGAATTATAGGTGGATTTTTACAATATTTTGCGTGTATGTGTAATAAGGAAGTAGAGAGGAACCTCTAAATGGTATGGAGTCAACCAACTGAAGATAATATTTGACTATAAAAGGGCTAACGATCCAACGCACCCATGTGTCCTGGTATGGTAGAGGCCTGC